AAATTCAGTTTCCCTACCAGCTTCCTATACAAAGTAGGATCACTTAATAACTTGCCCTCATGAGCTTTAAGTTTGGCATTAGGATCCAATGGTGAAGCCATGGAAGTCAGATTATCACAATGGAATTCCTTGAGAAGATCATGAACAAATTTCCTCTGGGATATGACAACTCCATCATCTTTATATAAAATTTCCAGTCCCAAGAAATAATGCAGTCTACCAAGATCCTTGATTTTGAACTGATCATGAAGGAAATTTTTGAGACTAACAATTTCTTCAGAATCTGTTCCTGTGAGGATTATATCATCTACATAAACACCCAAAAACACAGTAGAAGAACCCCTTTTTCTACAGAACAATGAATAATCATATAAGGAATGAGTATAGTCCCTTGAACTCAAAGCTGCAGTTAGCTTCTCATACCACTGTCTGGCTTGTTTTAGACCATATAAGGACTTGTTTAGCTTACACACTAGCCCCTGTTTGTGATACAGCAAGACCAGGAGGTACATCCATATAGACCTCTTCATTCAAATCTCCATGGAGGAAAGCATTGTTGACATCAAGTTGGTAGATATTCCATTGTTTCTTTGTGGCTATGGCAATCAAGGATCTGACAGTTGTCATCTTAACAACTGGGGAAAAAGTTTCTGTATAGTCTATGCCAAGATGTTGAGTGTACCCTTTAACCACTAGTCTTGCCTTGTATCTTTCCACACTTCCATCAGCCTTGTGTTTGATTTTATACACCCATCGACAACCAATAGCTTTCTTGCCATCAGGTAAAGGAGTAAGGGACCAAGTATTATTATCATGTAAGGCAGCAAATTCCTGAGTCATGGCTGTTTGCCATGCAGGATCAAGAGCAGCTTCTGCATAGCTAGATGACTCACAGTCATGAGTGATATTTAAAGCAAAAACTTGACTTTTTGGATCCAATTCTGTAGAAGATATATGGTGTTTAGAAGAAAAACATGTAGTCAATGAGGTAGGAGTTAATGTGTGGTTTTCTGGAGATTGTGAAATGGGTATAGAATGAACATAGTCTGACAGGTATGTGGGCAATTTGTGAGTTCTGTGAGACTTTCTGGTTGCTATATCAGGTTGACAAGGTGTTGTTGAAGTTGAGGGAACAGATTGTGGACTAGAAAAATCAGGAGATGAAGGAGGATTTGTGTCATTTGACATCTCAGAATCACATTGTACATTAGAGTCAAAGGATGAGTTTGAAGTATTATAATCATATTGATCAATAGAAGAATGAGTAGGAGAAGAAAAGGGAAAGAAAGTAGGATCTTTATTCATTGCAAAAGGGAAAATGTTCTCATGAAAAATGACATCCCTGGAGACATACAATCTTTTAGTGGCTAGACTCATGACCTTGTATCCTTTTATATCAGATGGATATCCCACAAATACATGTGGAGAAGTTCTAGGATCAAACTTTGATCTTTGTACTTTAGGGAAGGTTGGATAACACAAGCAACCAAAACTTCTTAAATGTGAGTAAAAAGGTTTTAAACCATGCAGGACTTCATATGGACATTTGTTGTTTAAAGGTGCAGATGGAAGTCTATTGATGATATAGGTAGCTGTTAAAATGCATTCTCCCCAATACTTTGTAGGAAGTTTGGACTGGAAAAGAAGTGCCCTGGCTGTTTCAAGAATATACTTATGTTTTTTTTCTACCACACCATTTTGTTCAGGTGTGTATGGACAGGATTTTTGGTGAACAATGCCTTTAGATTGAAAGAATTGGATAGACTCAGCATTGGTAAACTCAAGTCCATTATCGTATCTAATCACCTTAATGGTAGTTTTGAACTGATTTTCAACTATATTAGTGAATGTTTTAATAACATGTAAGGCATTACTTTTATGACTCAACAAATGTGTCCAAGTAGACCTACTGAAATCATCTACCAAAGTAAGAAAAAATCTAAAATTGTCATGTGTGGGTGTTTGATATGGCCCCCATAAATCAACATGGACTAAGTCAAAAATGGCAGTGCTTCTACTAGTGTTCTGTGGAAAAGGTAGTCTTGTTTGCCTTGCCATTGGGCAGATTGGACAAATGAAAGGTTGTTTGTGTGAAAAATTCATAGGTATGGAGGATATATTCTTCATTTTAACAAAAGGAACATGACCAAGTCTATAATGCTACAACAAGTCTGCACTATCACCAGGGATGACAACATTGCTATCAACAGAAATAGCTTTCTTAGTATTAGATGAACTGTTCAATACAGAAACACTTTGATTAGGCAAACATGAATGAGAAATACACTGACTATGTAACCTATTAGTTCTATGAAGTGATAGACATGTGGTAGATGAAATGGAATTCTTGCTCTTCTGTAAACAATCTGAACAAAGAAGATATAAGCCATCATGAGCTTTACCAATTTCCAGAGGCCTCTTCAGTGAAGGGGCTTGCAACAGACAAGATGTGTTAGAGAAAGAAACAACACATTTAAGATGTAGAGTTAGAGAATTAATTGATATTAAGTTGTACTTGAAAGAAGGAATGAACAAGACATTGTACAATGTGATCTGTGAAGTTATTCTCACATTTCCAACTTCTGTGACCTTGACTTTATAGCCATTTGGTAATCTGACTAAAACAGGTTCAGGTAAGGGTAGAATGTTGGTGAGGTGTTGTTTGTTAAAGGTCATATGGTGTGATGCACCTGAGTCTAAGATCCACAAGTCAGTTCTAGCCTTATAACATTCGCATGACAGTTTGTCAAAAGCTATAGATGAAGTGCATGTAATGATACCTGCAAAATTCACAGCAGGATTTGTTGCTTGCATGTTACTTGAATTTTCTGCCTGAAATTGTTGAAGCAGGTAGGCAATTTGTCCATACTGTTCCTTTGAGATGCCAATATCTTGGCTGGTGACTTGACCCGCAGAGTTGCAGCCTTGTTCCACATTAGAATCACATGACATTGCAGAATTAGCTTCTACACCTTTCCCTTTGTTATTGTTTCTGTATTGCTGATTAGAACCAGGATTTTCACATTGTTGTTGTCTCTGAAATTGATTATAGCCTTGCTGTCCATTAGATTGAGATCTTTGAGGTCTATTATTATTCTGTGGATATCCATGCAACTGATAACATTTTGCTTTAAAATGTCCTGGTCTCCTGCAGTATTCACAATATGGCCTCCCTCTATGATTTGAAGAAGTAGATGAGTAATTCGTCTGGAAATTCTGGCCTTTTTGATTACCAGAAGTGCTTGAAGTACTTGAAGAAGTAGCCACAAGAGAACTAGTTTCAGCAAAGGATTGATTATTTGTCTTAAACTCTCTTTGTTTCTCCTCTTGTATCAACAGGGCAAAAGCTTGTGCCACAGATGGCATTGGATTCATCATCAAAATGTTCCCTCTAATCGTTGTATAAACCTCATTAAGACCCATAAGAAACTGAATTAATCGTCTATCCTGTTCAACCTTGTGCATCATATCCTTTGCTCCACAGCTACATGTACAGTTGCAGTGAGTTTTGATGCATAAACCACTCAGTTCTTCCCAAAGTTTCTTCATCTTGGTGTAGTAAGCTGTGACATCCATAACTCCTTGAATGAGATCATTGATTTCTTTTTGAATCTGATATAACTTGGCACCATTGGTTTGATCATAACGATCCTCCAAATCAGTCCATAATTCCAGAGCATTATCAACATATGCTACACTATCAGCGATATCTCGACTTAATGAGTTTAAAATCCAAGACGTAACCATATTATCACACCTCTCCCATTGTTTGTAGTTTGGATCTGTAGGAAGTGGTTTCTTAGAATCTCCATTAATGAATCCCAATTTATTTTTAACTGATAAAGACCTGATCATGCCTCTCTTCCAGGTTCGATAACCAATTCCATCGAAGACAACTGGTACAAGAGGTGCACCTGGATTGTCTGATGGATGTAGATACAACACATTTCCTATCTCAATTCCCTTAGTTGCTTCCAGATTAGTTACTTCTACCATTGTAGTGTAACAAAATCAAACAAAAGAAAGGATGAAAATGTGCAAAAATGCAACAGAAAAACAGCAGAAAAACAGAATGAACACAGGCAAACTCGATAGATTCAATCTTCACAAGAAGAACAGAGATGGAAGACAAACAGAGATATTCAAGATCATCACAGCTTGAACAGAGACGAAAACAAGCGGAAGTGATCGAACGAGTGCTCTGATACCATGTTGAAGCTCAAAGTTGAGATAAACCACCATTAATGGTGGCTGCAACTGAATGTAGAGATGAGGATGGAGAGAACCATTTCTCAGATTGAAAGAGAGGAAAAAAGTGTGATGAACTACATGTAGTAGTCATACTTATACAATTGAAAATTGAAGGAAAAAATAACTAACACTAACAGAAAGCTAACTAACTAAACAAAGCTGTTAACTATAACGGAAAGCTAACTAACTACAACTAACTTCTTCATAATCTTATCTCTTATCAACTTCAACACATCACACATTTTAATCAATCATTTAATGCTTGCATGATACTTGAGACTTTTTGAAAATTTTGTGCATGATCTGTACTTTTCTTTTGGCTAATGTTTTTGCATTGGATTCGAGCCACATGTGTGTCAAAAAGAAGATAATTTTATTAATTTACCTTCTAAAAAATTTCTTTGAGAATTTTATAATTAAATGTGAACATTTTAAAAAAAAAATTAATTGTAAGAGGAATATAGAAAAAAATTAATTAATTCTTTTTTGATTTAATAAGGTGATCAACTAATATGAAACAACTGTTTTTTGTATAAATGATTCACTAATATGAACAGAGAAAGTAATATGTTAAATATGTCTTTAGCCAAAACTAGAGATAGACAAATCTATATTAAACAAAATTATGAGAATGGGGTAGGAAGGGAGCCGAGGGGGTAGGGCGGTGTTGCAAGGGTGTCAGGTAGATAGATGAAACTAAGAGCGCCAACAAAGAAAAAGAAACGAACTAAAAAGGAAAGTATGATAAAGAAATTAAAACAGAGAGAATTTTAATATAACTGTCACTAAAAACGTTAGTAGTAATATATGAACTAGAAGTCCATTTGGTACAATCACACAAGATCTTGTATGATGTCCTTTTTCCTGCTGCCTTAACTCTTTAATTACTCTTCAAATAGAGGTTGGTAGAAGAGTTTAAATACCTCAATAACTTCAAGGTACCACATCGATTCTCGGTCAGGAAATGGCGAAAGGTCAACAATTTTGTGTATCTGAAAAGGGAGAAGATGCGTAAGAATATCCTATAAGAAGTTAACAACCGAAACAAGAGACATCATAAACATAATACAGCAATGTATATTCACAGAAGGCTATGTTAATTTAATACAGCAATGTAGTATATTCATAGAAGGCTATGTTGATACAGCATATTCACAGAAGGCTATGTTAATACACGCTGACTTAAAATATACTTGCTCTGCAGATTTTCGAGTAATAATACAAATTGTTTTCAATTTTTTCGCGAGGTTTAAAATCAGCAAGAAAGCACCGAGCTCAGCTATTGGTCATTGTCTGCTCTTGCTTGGTGCAGAACGGTGTGGAAGTACCTACATTCTGATAAGATTAAGGAGACACAAGGAGTACAATCTTCCACGAAAACTCTCTCGTCCCCCATCTAAAACATATTTTCCTGTTGTACACTTCTTTATGCTGAGTAAGCAATTTTACTTCTTGTCTGATAGGTTAATTTGGTGATCTAGTTCGTAGACTGCACACATTCTACCTCAGTGAAGGAATGGGTACAGAAAATATGGCCTGCTATCAGATTACAGCATGAATGCTTCTTCAATACACTGCCACACTGGACTGTTTGGTATGAATATTGATAGTTCAAAACAGCTGAATTGAAATGGTCTGGAAATGCTTTAGCTTCTGTTCTATCAATAATAACAAAGATGACTACTGTTTCACCCAAGTGCAAGCTCATGTTTAATGCAAAACAATGATTCTAAAATTGATCTATACTGCTAGACCAACAATCACATAAACTCAAACTACCTTTACTCTCTTCCAAAATCACTCTAGTTATTACTTCAGCGCAGTGGATGTGTGCGTATACTAGGAGATATAGAACAGAAATGAGTATATCCGGGACAAGGTGGACGACAAGATGCAAGAAACAAGGCTAGGATGGTTCAGACATGTCAAGCGGACATGCACAGATGCCCCAGTACGGAGGTTGGCTAGGAATGGTTTCAGGAGTGGTAGACGTAGACGGAAGAAGTATTGGGCAGAAGTGATTAGACAAGACATGCTGCAATTCCAGCTTATTAAAGACATGACCTTGGATCGGAGGTGTGGAGCACGGATTAGTGTTAAAGGTTAGTAGAAGCAAGAGTAGGGTGGAAGAGATGGTTTAATTACAAAGACGAATTTCCTACCACTATTTTCTCCAGTCACCCATTCATTCCTTTGCATATTTATACTACTCCATGAGTAACAGAGACAATTTCTTCTATCCTCTGAAGCCCCTCCTCCATTTCCGGAGACAAATTTCTACCACTATTTTCTCCGGTCACCATTCATTTCTCTTGCGATATTAATATTATTCCATGAGTAACAACCAGACAATTCCGTCCACACTCTCAAGTCCCACCACTAAATTGGATAGAGAATCAGTAACCTCGAAGCATGAGTACTAGGTTTTTCATTAATTTGGCATTTGGAGTTCCAACAGCATTAGCATAAATGTACACAGTATTATGGGCATCAATAGCATGGGCACTCTACAGCATTGCTTGATGGTATTGGAGCCAGGTAGCTTGTGGATCTCTGAGATGGAAGTCTATTCATAGTACGTCTGTCTTATACAGGTGAACAAATCCACAGGTCCTCCACTACAACAACATAGAATATCCCAATGATGAATATGCTGAAAAGGAATATATATCATAATCTGCTAAATGACACTAGGAAGAAACACGATGCAAGTCATTCTGTTTTAACCCTGAATGGCTTGAACAGCTCAGAGAAAAGCCTAGGAAGATAGGGATGCTACCGAGTGCGCTACATTGGCACAATAAAGTGGGAACTTGACAGGTCTTGCAGCTACTAAGCTTTCAAAAGGGCTAGCCCACCAGCCGATACTATGAGCTTAATGCAACAAACATAGTAAGCCGTTTCAGCTTTCTGCTATAGAGCTTGGACTAATGCATAAAAGTTGCAACATGATTCAAAAACTAAGCTACTCTTTGCAGTTAATGGAAGGTAAAGATTTGATTGACCAATTCCAAAGTGCAGTTCATACGATTTTGATATGATGAATGATTCCCACAATGCCGATATGGTTGACTTCAACTTTTCACTATGTGACATTGGTTCAAACAGCATAAAATAGTTACAAAAGCTAGGTCTTAACTAGTTGCAACTCTTCTCATCAGAACCTCTTCCAGATTTTCTAATCATTAATGAGTCTCTTATTCAATTGAAGAAGAACACTGACAGATGGAGTGGAGTAATAGTTACATATTTCTTGTTCCCCCTCCCTCAAAAGCAACCCCTCCATTTGCCTTTTTGTCTTTAGAGACTAGATTTACTTGTGCAGTTGTGCTTCACAACCATTGCTTTTATAGGTTCCTATCCATGCTATGCAAGACACCTTGATTGCTAAGGTTGAGAGTAAAAGTAAACCTTGATATTGTACTAAACTAATAAGAATTCAGTCTTAGAGATCAGGATTAAGAACTCGCGGACTCAGTAGCATTTCACCAAATGCGGAACATTGTTCGTCGTAGATTGGAGATGAATTTAGAACGCATGAAATTATTTTACTGTTAGCTGGGCAATCACCCTCAAAAACAACATTGTCATTAACAGATTTACGAATTTAATCATTGACGCAACACTCCGAATAAGCTCAAACCAAAATGTTTAACCACACTAAAGCAAGTTAACACAAGAACAATCCTAATTTAACATGAATGAAGTGGGAAGTCATTAGAGGGAAAGGTTATCCTTTTTTACCTTAACTAAAGGGAGGCTGCCTTTTTGGACAAAATACAGTCCAACAACCATAACATACATCCCTGTTCAAAATTAAGGCAAGCACAAGTACAGATTTATTAGTAGAGAACAACTGTAAAAATACTAGGAACATAATAATAAAGGAGTGATTAGACATAATCCCTTGAGATCTCAACCTGTATCATAAAGTTACCATGATTCCAAATATTACACAGACCTTTGACAGTTTATAAGTAGTCTGATTAGCCGTTTATAAATTAACTTAATTATATTAGATCAAGAATCTAACCCTTTCATCGACACATTCAACTTTTCTTAATAACTCCAAATTTATGAAAGCAAAAGTCAAAGGTAGAGAATAACTAATGTATCTACAAAAATAATGAGGGACAGAGAAGCTTAAAATCAAACAGGATATCATTTTAAGGAGTAAAAAGCAACATGAAAAGATTAAATAGAGTTACCAATAGTTTTGATACTTGAAAAAAATAAATCAAACTATTCCCAGTAAATCTTTGCACTAGCAGATCAAATGATTTAAACAATATATATCTAACACACAAAAATTGAAGGAAGGGGTTTGTTTGTGTAATATTTGAAATCTCATGGGAGGCACGTGTAATTTTCCTTAACAATTACTAACCTTTCACCCAAGAAAGTGTGAGGAAGTCGCCGAGAAGTTGGAGTTCAATGACCCCTGTGCCATCGTCGAGGAGGAATCGGCCGGAGGAGTCAGTAGTAGGTGTTGAAACCAGAATACCCTGCAGTTAAAATGGGATCTTTTCACAAATAGATGAGCTTCCCAAATACTACTATCAAGAAAAAGACTAAGAACACTTTTTCAAGCTTGCGCGCATATCGACTGATTCCCCAGGATACCTGTCACCTCCTACTAGCAACAGATACCAGGTAACTTTGTTCACCAAAATTAACATAGATAGGAAGAAATCACCTAGTGTTTTTGACTCTGTAGCTGGAATTTGAACCTAAGATCTCATGATTTTTAACTCACTCCCTACTAGGCCACACCCTTGGTGCAATTATAGTTGGCACAACGACATATTCAGTGTAATCTCACAGGATACTCGCCACCTCCCACAGCAGCAACAAGTACCATGTAACTCTGTTAACTAAGGGTAAGATAGATGCGACAAAAACACCTAGTATGTTTGCCTCCGCTGATATTTAAACATGAGATCTCATAGTTCTCAACCCACTTCATTGACCACTAAGCCGCACCTAGGTGCAACTCTACAATTAGTACAACAAAAATAACAACAACATAGCTTATTTTTTATTCCTAAATGCTATAGATAGATCATACACTTGATACAACAACAAAAACAAACAACACACCTAGTAATCCCACAAGTGAGCTCTGCTGAGCGATAAGATGTACCCAGACGTTTTCAATAGACACTCGGCACAAAATGTGGGACCTAGGATGGTTTTCCAGCTCTTTTACAAACTTCTTTTTTAATTTTATGTCCTTTTTACAAATGATCTTCATTTTACCATCTGAAAAAGTTCATTTTCTTCTATTCAAATCGTAGGCAAGCTAGAGATCTCATTTCCTCAGTTGTTGAAGCACTAAATTAGGTTAATTCTTCAATCAAAATTGGAATGAAGCAAACTATACGGGGAATATGAAAAGGGGATAGGAAGAATGAGACCTGTAGCCAGACACGTTGAAAGAGAATGCCGGAGAGAGTGAATGCTGCCTGTGATTGTTGTGTTGTGGTTGCTTTGGCGTTGTTTAGCTGTGAGCAAAACACTTTCAGTGCTGCCAGATTGTAGTCCATCTTCTTCCTCCCAAAAAATCAAATGAGAAAATTCGCCGGGTTTTCTGTCTTTTATACTGTTCCACTTTGTGTGTACATAGGGTTAATTTTGGATGTGAATTTGAATATATATTTTTTTAAAAAAAAAAAAGGGAAAAAGGACGTATATATTTTGAACTATCGTAAATGATATGCACATATATTTTATCATACTTTAGGGACGTTGATATCTCTGTCGTCTATACACTAGAGCATATATACTCTTGCAATATATGCTCTAGTTTTTGGAAGGGAGGACAACAATGTAAAGTATGACGAAGGGTATCTGCTTACCATTTGCGATAGTTCGAAAATATATTTGTTCTTTTTCCAAAAAAAAAAATGGAATGCTTATTGTTCTAATTTTGATTCATGAGTACAATTATTTTAATTTTTTTTTTTAAAGATATAATACATGAATATATACACTTAAATTTGGCATCTATCAACTCTAAATTTAAGAGTGTACATCTAGACACCTCAATTTAGGCTCAATTAGTAACTATACTCTCCAACTCATCTCGTATTGTGTCTCGTGTATACATGATACTGATGTGACATATAAATATTAGAGGTGTCTAGATGATTATTTTGTATATTGAAGTTTTTGATTAATTCGATAAAAGATGAGTTAAGTATTTAGATGTACATACTCAATATTGAAGTGTTTCCAAATTTAATTATCTATTTATATATTATATCATTTTTTAAAATTCACTCATACGCTATTTAAATATATTTTTCTATATATATAATATTTTTTGTAAATATTGTATGCTCATATATCCATCTTGATCAAAACATTAATTGAGACTTTTAAGGAAAACAACTGTGAGATTATGCCAATAACAATTGAATTCATGTGAACAATTGCATCAATTTAAAAACTTTTACAAGTTAAAAGTTATACAAAAATATGTTTATATATTCCATTGGCAACATCATAACCAAAATAAATACAAAAAAAAAAAGGAATGAAAAACTAAACAAGAATTTATTATAACATAATGTGAGTCCAATTAACAATAAATTTTTCAAGACTTTGTTATTTGTCACTTAAAGAAAGAAGGATAATATATAAACAAACATCTTAAACTTCCTCCACAATTAAACACTTTACCTTTAAAAATGTTCATTTAAATACTTAAACTTGATTTAATACACCTCGTAAACACCTCAAATTTGACAATACACGTCTAATATGCATCCCCTTAAAAGGTGTCTAGACGTGTATTTTCAAAATTAAAGATATTTGCGAGACACATTTGAGTCAAGTTGAAATATCGAGGTGATCATAATAAAAGTTAGGTCCATCAGCGAATGAACAAAAATCAAGAGATGAGGGATATGCCACTGGCTAGCAAATCATCAGATAAGACTTTATTTGCAGCTTCTGTTGGGTGAAATCCATCCCAAAACACATATTCAGATGCATTTGCACATGTTCCTGGAGAATAGGCATTGCACAATATGGATGTTTCTAGTAATCCTGTACCACAACATGCCTTTCTTGCTTCAAAAAAACCTGTATAAAAATTAAATATTTGAACAACAATAATATATTCAGTATAATTTTATAAATAGAGTGGGACTTTTTGTGGCCGCTTTAATTTAGATATTCAAGAAATACTGAGAGTAATGTTGTTGGTTTTTTAGACAATTATTAATGCCAGTAAAGTGTTAACATTCTTTGTTAATGTATATATTTATAACCGCTAAAAACTGTTTTTATTAAAGCTAAAAAAAAAAGGTTCTACTTGGGATTGAACCCTAGTAATTTGGGTGGATCTATTAGCTTGTGCTATTGGTACAATTTACAAAGTACCATTTCATTTTGTTTTTGGAAACTATTAATTATATTTAGTTTCTGTCAGTTTCTCAAGATAGATATACATATATATATGATTTTTTCTGAAGTTAACGGTTGTACGTGCATCCCCACAATACTATGTGGGTCCGCCTCTGCTTATAGTGGCGACATTTGATCTCCAATTCGTTACAAAATTTCAACATTTATCAAGAACAGAGATAGCGTTCCTTATTTAGATCCTGTGTGAATGCAAAATGCTTTGTGTATCAGACTATTTTTTCGAAGAAAAGGTTATATAAATTGAAGTATAATTACCATTATCGGCTGGATGTGTGACAAGGTCAAGGAGGGGTTGGTATATATCCAAGATAACAAGATTGAGACCAAAAAGCTTTTTTTGCAATTTGATAGAAGTGTCATTGAGCTTATTGTTGAATGAAATTGCCACTTTGTTCATCTTCTTGACACAACTATTGTTGTCTTTGCCAAATATTGTAATTGATGCTGGTAAACATCCAATTGGTGGTACTGTTGTCACTCCAATCTTTCTTGCTCCTAATCCATACAATTCCTATCAGCCACAACACAACAATTTTTTTAAAAAAACTTATTATATTGTCAGTATATATAATTTAAATTTATTAAAAATAATTTTTAAGTTATATACATTATTAACTTAAGAAACTTTTATACCATCAGATCACTTGTTGTCTTGTAATTGTTATAACAAGTTACTTCTTGTATAATATATTCTGTGTAATTCTATTGGTAGAGTCTGAAGAAGATAATGTGTATATAAAATACAGACCTTATTCCTGTCTTATGAATATAAATCGTAGAGAGGTTGTTTTTCGAAAAATAAAGAGGAAAAAGAATATACCAATATAAATTTAGTGTATGACTTGATGAGGATATCTGAGAATTGATCTGGAGTATAAACTTTGTAGAGCAAAGGATTAATATAATAATTCTGAACAAAATCACTACTTCCAGCACTGATTAAGTGAATTGAAGCATTGGTTATTGATGAAGCATTTAATTTCCCTGCAATTACCACCAATTTCTTTTGATATTCTTTGTAATATTCAAGTTGTTTGCTCAAAGGAATTGCATCCTGATAAAAAAAAAATAGATTAGTGTTAAATTAGATTATATTAATTTGATATTTTAAATTAAAAATTTAGATATTTTAAAAATATATAAAAGTACTTTAAATTGCATTTTTTACATATCAATGAAAAAATACATCGTAAAATATTAGTTAAAACTCTTTATTATTTGACTCTAAAAAAAGAAAATTATGACAAGTAAAAATGAATGGAGATAATATTTTCTCGATTTTAATTTATGTGATAGATTTGACTAGACACATAATTTATTTATTTATTTATTTTAAAAGGAACTTTTGAGAAAAAATAAAATTTAAATCATGTTATTATTTTTGTATGGTTCTAAAGCATTTTGTATGAAAACAAAAGCTTCCTATTAAGGATAAAATGAAAATTTTAAGCTCAATTTTTTCTAAATTTAGATTATTCTTTTTTAAAATTGATTAAAAATAAAATATTATCACATAAATTAGAAAAGAGAAGTGTGAGTTTTTTTTCCTTTTAATTTGTTTTATCACTCAGTTTCAGATGCCCATTTCGAGAATAAAGTGCTTTCTACCAAAGTCAATTTTATTTTTAAAGTTTGAACTAAAAGGGAAAAGGGTTTAAAAACTACTTTAATTTTGACCGAAAATGCTATTACGATATCGAACCTTATGAAAGACTTTTTATCACCTGCACTTTTTAAAAATGTATTTTAAAGGTATACATATATGTGTCCACATGGACATATTACTATTTAAAATGACGCAATATTTATAATGTCCACATGAACACATATATACCTTTAAAATACAATATTAAATAGGATATAGATAAAAGATACTCTATAAAATTTGATATCATAACATTAATATCGATTAAAGTTTAAATATATTTCAAACCCTTTTCCCAAACTACAGTTACTTACATATAGCCTAGCAGTAGTGTCATAGTAACCAGATGATCCAGAGGCAAAATTGGCTCCAATCAAAAGATTTTTCCCTTTGGCTTTCTTGCTGAGATAAGCTGGTGGATATGAAGTAAACCCAAGATTCTCAGCTGTATTATGCAACACAAAGGACAAACATTAGTTTTTTTAATAATATATATTTCTCACTCAAATTTAATTAATGAATTCTCACAATATATAAGGTCAGTATTTTCAACAAGATTCTTTTTATTCTCAGAGATTCAAACTCGACTTGTTACATTACATTTGCTTTTTAAAGATATTTATCAGCATTTCTAATTAGGTCTTTTTTATTCTCAAAAATTCAAACTCGAAACCTATACTTCATGATTGTTGGCTTGTTGCATTATATTTGCTTTTAAGTGATTTAAGTTTTAATTTAGTATAATATAAGATCAATTATACAAAAATTCTTAGTAAATATTTCGTTAAAAATCTCGTAGCTTACATAATTTTCAAATAAATTGTCCTTAATTCGTCAATCTGTGAAATTACCTTATAAAAGTTATTGTAAAGCTACAAAATTGATCCGTCGCTAAATTTTGTGTTTTACTAATAGCAATGGCTTCTTTGCCAAATGGATAAAAGGGTTGAATATTCTTTGATAGTTCCACCACTTTTTGTCATTTTAAGCGTACAAAACAAACAAAAAAAAAGAAGAGAGATTTTCAAAAAAAAATGTTTACAAAATTTAATAAAAGAAAAGAGTATATTAGTAAGAGGAGATGAGTTAATTAATATTTTACATATGTATTCCATCTGTTCACTTTTATTTGTCGTGTTACATTTTTCGAAAGTTAATTTGACTATGTGTAAAGTTAAATTAAATTACATCAATTATATTTTAAAGAAAAAAAATTAAGTATTCAAAAACTATATGAAAAGTACTATAAATTACAATTTTTCGCATATCAATATAATGAAAAATACATTTTTAAAATGTTACTCCATAGTAGAGTAAATAAATATGACAACTAATATGTACCGTACAACATATAAAACTACTTCTAGTATACGTTTTATAAAATTAAACTGTCGATATATATATCTTAAATCGAAGAAAAATAAGTACCCGTGAAGTCTGACGCAAGTTTTCCATTGCAAAATCTTCCAGTTGGTATCTTTTTAGGAAAATCTCTTCCATAAGGAGGAAAATTTGCCTTGATAATTGTTTTAAGATAATTATTATTTCCTGCATCAACAACTGAATCTCCAAAAATAAATAATGCTGGAACTAAAGGCTGTCCATTTACAATATTAATCAAAATATCCAAAGTTAATACAAATAACCAAATCCTCAAAAAACTTGAAATTCCCATAATCATAAAAAAAAATAGATATAAGAAGAATTGTATGTGTTTTTTCTTTTTCTTTTGGTTCAATAATTTGAAGTGCTTGTGGAGGTGAAAATTGAAAAGAGTTTGAGGACTATTTAAAGAGGTTAATTGGTCGAAATGGTTAAATCGATGATATCTATATCCTATTTAATTAAATTTTTGGTATTTTATTTTTCGCCCGATATCTAATATTATTTTAAAATTTTGATTACTTCAGATTTCGTCTTATACTATTTTAAAATTTGACTAATTCGAATTTATAGTTGTATATGTATAACCAATTTAAGAGAGAACTTGTTTATAATGTTTTTTTATTTCTAAATTTTAAATTCGAGATATCTGATTAATTGCTCTAACAAATATTTTTGACAAACTATTGCTAATCTATCGACAAATCGAATTAGCAATGAAATTTTATTATTTAACAATATAATTTATCTGTGAATAATTTTATATATTTTTTTAGTGGCTAAAGAAAATGTGGCAGGATTTGAACCATTCTATTCTTCTTATTATTCTTTCTTTGAATAATTATTATTGTTTCCCGTAAGCTATATGGTTGAATAATAACAGCTAATCAATAACTATTGGATTAACAAAAAAAACTTATTATCTATTTATTTTTCTGTGACAAAAATTAGGAAGCTTAGTATAAAAATTATAATATATATATTATATATAGTCAGTAGTTACAACTAAAATTCACTGGCATAACTTGTTCATGTAAAAATATTATCTGTATTAGGGAGCTTGTTTGACACATTTTTTTATTTTCTGATTATTTTATTTTATAAAGAATTAACTTAAATACTAGCAACCTACCTACATTAAATTAAAAATAATTATCATATATACAATATATTAGGTATAAATATATATAACTAATATTGAATTAGCTAGTATATATTTCATATATACCGATTATAAAAATATACAATAAATTCGACTAGTTATTTATATAAAGATTTTTTAAAATTTTTTTTATAGTTCTCTTCTAGAATTCCACAAGTGAGATATCTTACGCTTCTCTAAATTGTTTGACTTCATATGAAGTAGCTCTTCAATCAACATCATATAAGTTTGTAATATTGATAGCTAATAAGTATTAAATGTATCACTTTTTCGTTTTAATTTATGTGTCTTATTTTAATTCGAAATCTAAATTAATCAATTTTTCGTGTGAATTTAGAGATAGCTTTTTCAGTTTATTTAAAAAAATTGATTTTCACATTTTAAAACTACATAAAAATAACTGTAAATCACAAGTTGTGAAGGCTTATTTCTAATTAGGAAGAATAATAAAAGAAAGATTATAAAGTCCTTTAATAATATGTTTGGCACCAAAATTAAAAGAATATATTTTGACACGTTTATACGAAAAAGTTTTTATTATTAATATAATAGAATAAATAATCAACATTTTCAACTAGTATTTTCATAATAATAATAATTTAAAATAACTGAAATAATAGAGATTGAAGAAAGTAATTTTGGACTCTCAAAATAAAAATTATGACACATAAATTTAAATTTATTTTAAACGTAGCAGCTATATGTATGTATGGGATGGATATACTTTGCTTCAACCAAGTGTCAATGTAAATTGTTTTTCTGAATCCCAAAATAATTTGCAATCGTTATAACCCTATAACTTCTATCTCTGCCTTTTATAGGGGTGTGCAAAAATCAAACCGACCAATAAACCGAATCGATAAAATGTTATTGGGTTATTGAGTTTTTAATGGGTTTAGAAAAAATAATTACTGGGTTATTGAATCGGTTTCGGGTTTTCCTATTGGGTTATTGGGTAAACCGATAACCCAATAAGACGATAGTTATTTGCTACTTTACCCTTCCCCAATGTTAAATGTACATAAGTTAATACATAAATAGATTCAATATTAGCTTTTCAGGCTATGTGATTTTTGGTTAGGAAATTGGTGAGAACTTTGTTGATTATCTGGTGGATCAAGAAACTGTTCAAGATTGTCTCATTGAAATATTTTATTTTAATTTTAATTCTAGTTCGTAATTGTAGGCGATAGCTTTTGCAAGTTTGTGAATGTTAGTAATTTGATCAACATTCAAAATTTTCTATTATGTTTTGGCTACAGTTGGTAACATGTAATTATAACATACGTACTATTATATATTATTTGATCGACATTTTCTTATTGGGTTAATCGAAATCGAACTGATAACATCAAAAACCGATAAACCGATAAAAAATTTCTTATTGATTTGTTATTGGGTTGACATATTTTAAAATTGAAAATCGATTAACCGAACCGATTATATGTAAAACCGAATCGAACCGACCGATGCACACCCCTAACACTTTAGATAAAAATTATGATAAGTATTTTATGCGCACCGAATAAATCGAGTGTCATGTAAGTTAGTAACACGACTTATAAAAAATATGAGTATAAATATAAAATATGATATTGCAATAGCAATAGCAATTTATTCGTTTCTTTACTTCTTTATATATTAACACCTTATAAAAAAGATTTTGTGTACCAATGCGCAGAACAACATTACCCAATAATATAATTACACACGTGGAATTAGAAAAGAAATAGAACCTGAATAAATTTTATGTCTTTCACTACGTTGAGGTGGATGATTCGAAAAGGGTACGAAAAATATTTTAAGATCGAAATTATTTTTATGATATCAAACTTTATGAAGAATCTTTTGTTCCTGTATTATTTAATAATATATTTTAAAGATATATATGTGTCTACATTAAAACATTACTATTTAGAATGATACAATATTTATGATATTCACGTAAACATATATATACCTTTAAAATACACTATTAAATAGTACAGAAATAAAAGATTCTTTTCAAAATCTGATTATCATAACAACTTCAATTTCGACCAAAATTAAAATATTTTGCGTAACTCTTTTCTCGTAAAGTTTCAGACTCTATCACGACTTAAATAATAACTTTAGTAGAATAGTCAGAATTTATTGAACCTGATCACATAAGGTGAACATTTATTCAGTAGATTACAAAAGTGACAAAATGCTACAATCACTTTACTCATCCCATACTTCCATCAATTGATTGTCCTCTTAAGTCATTTTCTTGTAGTTGTTTTCAGTGTTCTACTCTCATTATCACTGTCCTATTATTGTGCTCTTGACTTCTCTGAGGCTGTCCTTCATCCCTCAGTTCAAAATCGCGCGTATTATCACACGTTAAAGACGAATATTTATCCTCTCTGACATTTTCATAATATCCGAGTAGATTCTATCGCCACCCAACTCTGCACCGGTGGCACCACCAGCGAGTCGAAGGACATCCTCGATGAAGGCGACATTTCCCATGATGTCAACATGAGCACCACTCTCCGTGCCTCTCCCTTCTAGCAGACTCGACGGAGCCTTGTGCTGGTGTTCCCTTATGTATGTTGAGATGCCCGAGGGGTTGAAACGCGTTTTGCCTCGCCAACCTTTCGCGCACATGAAGCCGGCGCTCACGACCGGTACACTCTCGTCGCCATCAACAAAGTGTACTCCACCCTTCAAACACCCGTTGTCACTTCCATACGCAGAGCTGTCGATTTGAAGAGGAATGCTCTTGCATCTATCCGAAGATGACAACTTGTAGACGTATGATCTCTCGGTAGGAATTCCCACACCATATGAACAGAATATCTCCATATCCGGAGCATCCGGCAATCTGAAAAGAGATGCCGACTATTAACTAACTAACTCAGCGGAGGAGCCAAAATTTTTACGAAGGAGAGTCAACATATAGTATAATATACACATAAAACTAAAATATTGACCTAGCTAAATTGGCGAAGGGTGTGGCGTAAGGTGGCTCTGCCATTGCTACCAACAAATAGGATCATTGGCTATGGCCGAGTTCATTATACAACTAAGGAATAGCTATAAAGGCACAACACATATGATTAATCTTATAAAATTTAACTTAAGAGACAATGACAAGTAGATCAACTGACGATCAATGTTCAAATAAAGAAAGAATGGGTGGAAGATCGTAGTTAGTTAAGAGGACCATGGCTTATTCTTACTTGGTTTCAAGTGGATTTGACCAGTACTTGTAATGAGTGTACTTCGGATCGTCAAGGTCTTCAGCTATTCCATGAGAGAAGTGTGCCTCAGCGCGCTTCATCATTTTCGGTGCCACAAACCGAAGAAGATCTAACAGAGTACTTGCTGTGTATGCATCACTTTCAGCAACTTTCTTGATGTTGTTGCGACTCATTTCGTCATACTCTGATGATACTTCTCCACATGACATGTTGGAATTTCTGGATGCACTTCCACGCATGAGTTCCTGTTGATTTTAAAACAAATGAGAACAGCCGGTCAAAAGAAATATATCATTTCTATGCATTAAGATCAACACAATTAGAACGGAAGTGTGAAGACCAAATGTGGTCCGGACCTAACTCTTGGACCCCGTACATAGTAAGAGCTTAGTGCACTGAGCTGCCTTTTTTCTTTCTACTAACGGGAATAGATGTAAATTTACATCCATCAAGAGTAGATACACTCCAACTGACCATTCTAGTCGGTTCCGACAGTCGGTTGTCCAGCCTAGTTAACAACACATCGATTGTCGTAAAGCAAATATCTGAAAAAGAGGGGTGGAATAGAGAGTCATATTTACCTTTGAATCAATTATTGAGAGCTGTGAAGAAGGTAATTCTAATTTTTCCTTGCCAAATGAGATTATTCTACCATATCTCGGCAGCTCCTTCACGTGGAAACTCCTCTTAGCATCCGTGTCATTGCCATTGTATTCCTTCGAAGAGGATTGCAAGTATCGTGCCTTTGATGTATAACATATATTTTCTACTTCTGGAGACCTATTCAAGTCACCCCATATGGTCTCTCCTCCTCTTGGTACCAAAGAAATGACGGAGTCCCATGTTCGAGAAACCCGCATAATGTGTTGAAGTGTTTGAAAACCAAAGGTCTCGGAATCCAGCAAACCAGGAGCCATGGATCTGCAAAATATAAAATAGAAGAGTTCACTTCCTCATCCATAAAGTGCACTCGATTCCACT